ATTAAACGATTAATTAGTATTGTAGATAGAAAATAATTATTAATGAGTATTTTAGATAGAAAATAAGAATTTTATAATTTTTTAAATAATATTATTTTAGTTAGTGTTGTCAAATTAAATAAATTTTTATTAATATGAATATTGATACAAATATGACACGTACTGAAAGTGATATGATACAAAAATAATAATGATCAAAAGGAAGTGATATGATACGAAAAATAATACGATCAAAAGTGACACGATTGACACCCTTGAAATCTGATAGATTGATGAACATGAGAGATTTTTAAAAAAAAAATATAATTAAATATTACATTATCGATTTTAGAGAGTCTGCTTCATCAGAAGTTTATTTCAATTTCCCATTCTCTCTATTTTAATTAATTATTTTATTTAACTTTTGCTAACTTCTAATAATTTAAAAGGGATTGCAACATATATGTGGAGAGAAAAAGAGAATTTTTAGATGCCAAATGACTAGAGCTATTTGGGTGAAATATAGAATGAGATAGAAAGCGAATCGGAGGATATTTTTAGTATTTTGCTAGCTAAAATAACTAAAAAAAAAGATAGAGAGTGAGTTGGAGTTCCTCTTAAAATTTTTGCAGCAAATCAACAATAGCTTTGTGTGAGATTTTAAGATGAGTAATACTATTTAAACTTTAGAAATTGTTATTTGTAAAAATATTTAATCAATCACAATTATTAAATTAATAGTAAATTTTAATAAATGCAAGGGAAAATTTTATCCATATTTCTTATAGTTAGTTTTAAATTCAGTGATATTTCTTCTTGATTTTGAAACTTTACTTGTTTATCTAGTTAAGATGTTAATGGCGATGGTCGATTTATAAAAATACTCTTGAGAATTTAATAGGATAAAGCATTCCCTGTAAATAAATTTAACATTAACAACACCTAACTCTAATAACACTCTCACCTAATTTTGATAATTTAATGCACTCTTTTTGAGTTCTATTATATTAGTTTTTAGGTTCATCAATTTAATATTTAATTTTATTAAATAAATATCTTTTATTTAATTTAAATTAAATTAACATTTTTTTCATCAAATCAACACAAAATTGATTTTTAATTTTATCAAATTAGTATTTAGTTATATTAATATAATATTTTATTTCATCAAATTAATATTATCTATTTAATTTAACATTAAATTATTATTTAATTTATCAAATCAATATTAAATTAACATTTAATTTTATTAAATTAAAATTTAATTAAGTAAAATTTTAAATTATATTAATTTAACATTTAACCCATTTGTTTAATGTAACAGCAAATAAACATTTAATTTCATTAAAGCAATATTCAAATTTGTTCAACTAACATTAAATTTTATCAAATTTATACTAAATTAATATTTAATTTTATCAAATTAACTCTAAATTAATATTTAAATTTATCAAATTAAGACTAAATTTATACAATTAATATTAAATTTATCAAATAATATTTAAATTTTATATATAAAAGGTGATGTGTAAACAGTGGTCGAGTAATGTTGTAGAGGATAGCGGTAGCAAAAAAGTTAAAAATTGATGAAATTTTAACATTGACTTTATTGATTATAAATTTTATTATAAAAAAATTATTTTTAACTATAAAAATTATAAAAACTTGATTATGTAACCAAATAGTAATAATATGATGAATAATATTATAACAAAGTTATCGTGCAACTCTTTAAAATAATAAAAATTCATTGTGATAACATGATAGAAATCATGCTTGTTGGCTGGCTAGGGCATACATAATGGAAAAAGAGTTGAGTGCACTTTAGTCTATTTACATAATAAAGGATAATTTTGGCATTTTTACAGAATGTGTAGTTAAATCACTGCTTTATCTATTGGCAAAGGCAGAAGTTACTGTTAATTAGGTATCATTGATTTGAAAGTATAAATCATAAGAGGTGCAATGAATTTCAAAATCAGAAGAGGGTGTCATTGAATTTAGACGTAATTATAGAGGTTGTGGATGGGGTTTTTCCTAAATACTATTAAACGAATGATAATGACAAATTATGTCATTATTTTAGGTCTAAGTAAAGAATCTTACTTAATCTATTAGAGCATCTCCAAGAGATGCTGTAAAGCACAAAAATAACTAAAATTTAACTAACCAAAGCGAAAAATCATACTCCAATAAAATATGTTCAGATACTCTAAAATAGATTTTTTAGAATATCACTGTAACAATATGTAAAATTTGTTTATAATATTTTCTCTCTCTTCCTTTCCTTTCTTTAATTCTCTCAATTACTCCCTTTTACTATTCCCAAAATAAAATAATACAAAAGGAACGAGAAATAATATTTAAAAATGAGTAGTTAAAAATATAGAAAATTTATTAGAGTGTATATTAAAAAAATGAGTAGCTAAAATAAAAAATGTTACTTTTGAAGTAGCTAAAATAGATTTTGTTGTTGGAGATGCTCTTAATAACGTAGTTTTGTTACAATTGTTTAATTGGATTTATAATTAAATTAATAAATTATGTAAATAAATTAAATCTAAATAATATTATTTTTTCTAGAGTTTATAAGTGCAACTAGAATCTCATAGGCACAAGCATTCCCCTAAGAATTTTGAGAATTTTTCAGTCAATTTCAATTATCTAGTTAGTTCCTTGCAAGTTGTCACAAGGTATACGAGAGAGCACGCAATATTTATATTGTAAATAATAATTTATTTTTTTATTAATTGTGTAATTTAAAATTAAAATAAACAATTAATTTTTTTTAAGATCCTTATATCTCTTAGTAAGATTAAACAAGTCATCATATAAATTATTTATGACATCACACCTATCATTGAAAGATAATTATAAAGAGTGTCGGAGAGTCCTATCACTCAAACGCTAATGCAAGCATCGGAGAGCTCTGATCACTGGTTCCTCTTTTTGTGGTACTGTGAAATCCACAAGAAATAAAGAAGAAGGGGATTGGAATAGCACACACAAATCAAATTCAAATTTTCTAATATGTATTTTATCAAACAGATTATAGGAAAGAACAATCTATTAAAGTTGCTCAACACACATATATTATGTATATCAAAATTTATAGTTTCACAATTCTAAAGTTGAAGAATAATCGAAACAAAACATGTAGAGGATCATAAAAAAAATTTATCATGTTCACAATATTTACTGAAAATAGGTGCATTTCAAAGTCCAAAAGACATCTTCTGCCGTAGGGAGAAAGAGAGGAGAAGTAAGTGTAGATTAGTGGGAATTCTTTAAAATTGAAGAGTTTGTTGTTTGAGTTGATTAGTGGGGATTGACTCTTTTTTTTCCCTCATTTGCATTTTTGTTATTGTTTATTGTGAAAAATTAGATTAAAGTTAATAATTTGATCATTGTGAAACTCAAATGATTGTTTAAGGTGTAATTTGAAAAAGTGTGTGATTTGAGGGGTGTAATGTAATTTGTTCTTTCTTTTATTTTTGGTTTGAAAAAGGTAGATTTATTGATTTAAATTACAATGGTGGGTATTTCACCCTATCTTTACATCAGCCTAAAGTTGTTCATTAATGTAAGCAGGCATCTAGTTTTACCACCCAAAAAAAACAATCTCAATTTAAATTACGTCCAAGCTGTGCCATCTTGTTTGCTTAAGCATCTGCTTCGCAATACCACACCCATATAGTACTTGGCTTGAATTTTGAATTAGCATTACAAATCCATAAGATTTTAAGACCACTCAGGATGACATGAAGAATTTCCTTCTCAACACAAAGTTTCGGAGTACAAAATAGAAACAAACTCAAAATGATCTTGGTTTTGCAACAATGGTGGAATGCTTCAGAATATGCAAACTGAACTGCCCACCCTTCTCTGCAGTATCTATCTTTGACTGTCCTGGAGGAGGCAACAGCTCAAAATTCTGCACCAAACGCCCTAAAGTGATACCAAGAATAGGCAATGCAAGAATAATTCCAGGGCAGCTCCTTCTGCCAACGCCAAATGGAAGGTATCGGAAGTCATTGCCACTCGCCTCAACCTTCGCCTCCTCTTCCAAGAACCTCTCAGGCCTGAACTCCTCCGGATTCTTCCAGTGTGCTGGGTTATTGGCAAGCCACCAAGCATTCACCAAGATTTTGCTCTCAGCAGGGATGTCATATCCCCCAAGTTTTGCGTCGTGTAGGTTCATGTGTGGCACCAGAAGAGGAATTGCCATACGAAGGCGAAGGGTCTCTTTGATCACAGCCTGAAGGTATGGGAGTTTGTAGGTGTCAGGCTCGGTGATCTGGTGTCCGGGTCCAAGCACAGTGTCAAGCTCATGTCGCAGTTTCTTCTGGGTTTCGGGGTGGTTAACAAGTTCTGCAATGCCCCATTCGATTGACCATAGTGTGGTCTCGATTGCTGTTTCATGACAAACATATTTAGCTCATTAATTTAACATAAAAATGCATAGAATGAGAGCATTTGAATTAGATAATAACACTAACTAATCATCAGGATCGTGACATTTTCCAGTTGTTTAATTACTTATAAATCTTAGGGAGACTTATAAATCACTCTTTTTCTCATCCTCTTCTATTCAAGTGAAGTGAGACTTTTATTCGTTAAGTAAATTCCATACAATTAAAGCCCGATGGTCTACTATAGTGCAAAGTTTAAGGTACTATATTTAAGGTGAAAATTTATTCTCATAAATATAATGACAAAATTAACTATTTTTTATAACAGATAATCAGGAAAATTATAAATAAAAAAAAAAAAAAAAGATGATGCAATGGTGAGAAAGTAAAAGCGTACCCGCAACGTTAATGTTCTCAACGATATAAAGGACGTTGTCCTCGTTGATCTCTCCCTTCTGTTCGGCTTCGAGGATATGATCAATAGCGCATTTTAGCCCACTGTTGTCCATTGGCTTTGTGCTTGCAAGCTTCCTGTAATATACAAAATAATAATAATTATTTATCAATTATTATATAAATATATATAACATATAATTACAAGTCCGAAAAGTGTAATCTAGAAGTCATCAGAAATAAGGTTTTAATTTTGTATTTTTGAACACTAGTTTATACACATTTTGACTAATCCCTCCTTGGTTCAGCCACAATGGGACTAAAGTTTTAATTTTGTTTGAAAAATGTTATTTGTAGCTAAAATGCTGATCTGATTTATTGACTTAATCAATTGTAGCTATTAAATTAATAACAGATTTTAATAAATATTAGGACTTACATTTAAATCAATTATAATGATTAATAACATCATATTTTATTTTGATAATTGGGACCCCAATCAACTTGTCCTATTATATTAAAATTGTTTAGTAAGAATTCAATTAAATGCATGATTTGAATGAATCCAACCATACAGACCATTTCAAAAAATAAATGAAATAAATTTTATTAGGCCCGTTAACACTCGCTCACACCATCCACTCACCGCCTCCTTGGATAGTAAACCCCTCTAAAAAGTTCAAAACTCTAAGTGAAATTAAGGATAATTTAAGTGATAACAAAGATGAATCGTAAATTACAATTCTTTTGCCATAGATTATAATAAATTTACTCTTTATAAATGGTCTAATTCCGATCCGTCGTGCTTTCGTACACTTTTAATTATTGAATCAAAAAAATAAAAATAAAAAACTCAGAAGTCATTTACTAACGACAGGAAGTGTCACATTCGAACATGAACACTCACGTTACAAATAGTTTGCTGGCCCATTTGAAGACCATACATGGTTATACTATCCCATACATAATTCTTTTTTAATTTTTCCTTCACCAATCAATTATATTTAATTGAGATTTATTAAATATATAAATATGTCGCTTACTCATTATTATTAATAGATGATTCACAAAAAAATAAATTAGGTATAAATAATATTATATTATTAAATAGAAATACCTTAAAAAACACAGAAGATTAGAGAAAAAATGAATATAAAAACTTGAAAAATTGAAACAGGAAAATAAAAATGATAAACTTACTTTCTCTCATCAAGGAAATAGTCTTTGAACAACTGCAACCTTCTCTCCTTCACTTCCTTGCAGATCGTCAAATAACCCCTCAAGAAAGGCCTCAAAATGGGAATAAAATCACCATAGTTGTACTCAAAGCTCTGCGCCAACCTACTTCTCTCTCCATTCAAAGCCTTGAGCTTCACAAACAACGGATCGTCCTCACTCTCAAACCTCCGATCAAACATTATCCTATACATATTATTATACATCATCAATTGCAACCTCCTCCTCAAAACAATCCCATTCTTCGCCGCTTCTGGGTTGTTCTTCACATCTTCAACCACACGCGCCGCCTCTTCCTCCCATCCCTGCCTATACTGCTGAACCACTTTGTTGGTGAAGAATGGAACAGTCATAATCCTTCTCATCTTCCTCCAATGTTCGCCGTAAACGGTAAACACCATGTCTTGACCTTTTCCGGTGAAGATATCGAACACGACGTTTCGTGTTCTTGAGCCGAACTCGACCCCTTGCGTGTGAAGAACTTCTTTGGAGAGCTCAGGAGATGAGACCACCACCAGATTGCGTTGTCCCATCCGGAGTAACAAGATTTCTCCGAATTTCTTCGCTAAATCTGTGAGGTTTCGGTGGTTTAAGTCATCGCCGACTTGGAGCCAGTTTCCGAATACAGGGATTGGGATGGGTCCAGGAGGGAGTTTGAAGCGCTTCCCTCGGAGTTTAGAGACAACGGTGGCAACTATAATGGCAAAGAAGAGACCTAAAAGGGTCTTCTCTAGGAGAAGAAGATCCATGGCGGAGGCTGGTGGCGATGGGGCGGAGGAGAGAGGAGAATCGTGGTGGGTGTTGGTGGGAGAATTGGAGTGGGTGTGTATTTATAGATGGGTGTGGGGGCCATGTAACGGAAGAAGAGTTAGGTTGGGGGCAATTGACGGCGTTAAATTAGACGATGGCTTTGATGGTTTTTACGTTTTTTTGGGCAAGTGGATTTGTTGGTTATGGTTTAGAAAATAGGAGAGAGCGGTGGAAAGGTAGGTGGGATGTTTGGTGAACCAATATGTCAAACTCAACTGATTAAAATCTAAGGATGTTTGAAGTAAGAAGTCAGAAGTTTTTATAATGCATATTCGCCGGCAAAAATGATGGTCGTAACTTGTTTTACAATATTACTTACCAGTAATTCTCCGTGACCAAGTAATAATAAAAAAAAATTATGATCAATTAAAAGACGTATTAAATAATTTTACATTGAGAATATTGGTAAATATATCTTTCATTACACCATAATCTACTATTTAAATATTCAATCACAAGTTCATATTGAATGTAATTATAGAGTAATACTATTTGGACTTAAAAATATGACCTAATTTTTTGACATAATAATGTGGTTTTAATAGAACCATTGGATCAACATTAAGTTTCAATATTTGATGGACTCCACAGCCAATTCAAAGGTCATAGTAAATTAGATCAACAAATTAGGTCAATAAATTAAGTTTCAATAGCAGTACTCGTAATTATAACTAAACATATGAATCTCATATCAAAATAGTTGGTGAAACAAACAAAATTTCAGTAGTTAATATAAACAATATATTATTTAAAAAAAATCGATAGACTTCTCTTTAAAAACATGATCTTGTACGCAATATCAACTTGTGTACAATTCATAATCAAACCTATACGTAAATAAAAACTATTTTGCATCAATAATCTCATCATATCACATATTGTTGTTATCACTATTTATGAATAACTAAGTATATTCATTCACCCTGAACTAACACAAAACTTAAGCTAATATGAATAACTAAGTATATTCATTCATCCTCCATAAGTCAAATAATCGTCAATTAAAAAATCAAAATCCACTAAACAAAGTTGAAACTCGAGCGTTTGTTATTTTCAATTTTGTTGAAACTTATTGAGGTCACTAGTTTTTGACAGAACCCCAAAGTCATCGTACTCACCAACTATGATCCTGCTTTAATAAAAAATTTACTACCTGCCACAACATAGACCTACTAATATTCATGCAATTAATGACCAAACAACGATTTTTTCCTGGACAATACATAAATCCATATGATACACATTTCTTATTAGTTATAAAAGAAAAAAAAATTACAGTTTAACCATCCGTTTATTTTGCGTCAATGTTGATCAAGCTACGAAAGCAAGGGAATAAAAAAAAGAAATAAATAAAAGAAACCAACTTCAACATGAATACAAATCTTATTTCTTAAAAAAAAAAATAGTGGATGAGTTCTTGATATCCAACTACTATGTAGATGAAGTGAAAAATATATATTGAGATGGTTGCTAGCGCAACTTAGTAATCAAGACAATTACAACCGTGTAACATATAAATAGAATTCTAATTAGGCGATTCTATTAAATTGATTCTTCAAAGCATGTTATTATCTTAACTACTCATTGAATTTTCTACTCCTGCAATAAAAGAATGTCAATGAAATTAAATTCACAACCTCTTGTCAAACATGACATTTTTATCACTCAATACAAAATCAGGGAAGAATCACTTATAATCAAAATGAGAATCAACTTCTAAAATGAACACTTACCGTAAGTAAGATTTATTTTCTTTTTTACTCGTAAAGATTGTGCAAGTAAACCAATAATCATAACCATGCGAGTCGAAAATGAAAATCCTACCTGATAACCTACCCAAAAAAAACTTTCTCAATGTAACCCCAATATTTGATGTCAACTTTCGTTAATTTTTCCAATGCAACACTCCTTTTTTTTTCCTTCTTTATCCAATTAGTAATCGGCATACTTATTACACATTCCCAATTTCCATAAAGTACCCAAAAAATTGGTGTATTATCAAATTTCATTATTTTTAAACAAATCCATATTAATCTACTTCAAAAGCAATCGGTAGACAACATTAGATCAAAGATTTGATTTCAATTTCATTAACAAACCCTAACTAATCACAACATGAAAATAAAATTTCTAGTGTTTAAAAAAATAACCTATCTATTCTCAAAAAAAAAAAAAAATACCTTGCACCATGAGAGTCTCGAGTGGACACGGTTGCCGCTTGAATTCAGCCACACCAAAATTACACCAAATAAAACATAAACAAAGAAACTACAATTAAGTCAATTTTCCAGGATCACTTGACACATAAATTGAGTACGAAGAAGATCAATATTATACCTAATGTAATCTATAGGAATGCAGTATCATGTTTTATGAAGACATCAAATTGTTGATACGTATTTAGCCCGAAAAAAAGTTGAAAATATAAAATATTCTATGTAACTCGAAGAAGAAAAATATAACTTTCAATTGCTTTTCTGAAGACTTTTAACACATGGATGAAATTAGCCCATTGGCTAATCCATTGTGTATTTCTACAATTTTACGTATTTAGCCCGACAAATAGTTGAAAAAATGAAATATTCTATGTAACTCAAAAAAGAAAAATATAACTCAATTGGTTTTCCCAAAAATTCTTATAATCCACTATAATCCCCCGATGACCGTATTGAGCTTTTATAGAAAAACTTATGCAATCAAGTAAAGATAAACATAAAAAGAGAATTAGAAACTAAAAACCCACTACCTGAAAACATTGTGAAGGAAGTGTTCCTCGTGCATCCCATGTTTGATGTCATTTTTTCCTTTCATCCAACACCATACAATTCAATCACCTGTTACCCAACACCGAAATTCATCAAACCACTTCAAATAATTGATTGCCAAAAAACCCGGACTAACAGTTTTTTCATTTGGGTTTGTCAGGCATTAATACCCCCCAATCACATGAATTAATGCAAATACAAATATTATGGAATTTAAAACGACATAGAATAAGAGCTCCCCAACAGATTTTTCATGATTTTGAGTCAAACAACGCACAAAAAAAATTAATTATAAAGCTTTACAACAACTTTCGAACAGAGATTTAAAAAAAAAAAAAAAGAGGAAAACAAAATCAGAGACAAAAAGGTGGATTTAGAAAAAAATAAAAAAATCAAAGACAAAGAGGTAGATTTAGAAAGTATTGGTAACTAATTTCCCATGATCATCGGTCCAAAATAAAGCCGGGAAAAAAAAGAAAAAAAAACAAGGATAATAAAGCTTTACAACAACATTCAATTCTGAGATAAAAAAAATAGAGGGAAAAAAAATCAGAGAGAGAGAGATTTACAGAGTATTGGCAAGTTAAATATCAGCTTCAAGAGCTTTAAGAGAATCCTTGAACGACTTTACCATGGCCATGATTTTTCTGGAAAATTAACTCCCAGTCAACAGTAGAAAAATCCCAAAAAAAAAAAAAAAAAGCAGAATAAAATCTCCAAGTCCGTGGTAGTATGTGAAGGAATTAGAAACCAAATGGGTAAAGTCGGATTTTTAACTCTGTAGATTAAAAGTCCACCAAAAAAACAAACTTGTGCATTGGAAAATGAATATGTAAGAAGGGACGGCTAGAGTGGCCAAATAGTGATTAAATTATGCTTTGGGTAACTCTTATTTTATCTCGATCAAATGATTAGAAAGTTTTATTATTTATAGAGAGAATTACATAGAGACTCTCAAAACTTTGTTATACACAATTTTTCTAAGATTTATAAGCGCATAACAATTAAACTCTTATTATCAATGTCTGTTAATATATCTGTTAGTAAATTACACTTAAAACTCTTGATGTTTGTAGGCGTACAATAGTTACATCTATTAAATTTAAATTGTTATACTTAGACTAAAAATATTTTAATTAAAGATAAAATATCAAATATTTTAAATTTTATTATCAAAATTTATGTTCTATTGTATCATTTATTAAAATAAAACCAAAAATAAAAATTATATTTTTTAAAAAAATCTAATTACTATATAATTATATTATCTATTGAAATACAACAAAAAAATTAAACAAATGGTCTAAGTCATTCATAATATAACATGAATTTTATAATAAAAATTCATGTTTTATTATATTATATCATTTATTGAAATAAAATCAAAAATATAAATATAATTTTCGGAACGGAAAATCATAATTAATATACAATTATACTATCTATTGGAATAAAACTAAAAAATTAAATAAGAGGTCAAACTATAATATCAATGGCTTTTGATCTAATGGTATTCCTTGTGAAGATTTTGCCTTCTTGAAATTAAGGGTTCAAGTCCTCCTTCTCTCTCTCTCTCCCCCCCCCCCAAAATATATATATATATATATATATTAAAAAAATAGGTCAAACTATAATAAATACAATATCATTAAATTTTAATTGGGATAATTTGGTAATTTAATTTGGTTATTTAAACGACTAAATTAAATTCCAATAGATAGTATAATTGTATACTAATTAAGATTTTTAAGAAAAAAATTAGATTTTTATTTTTACTTTTATTTTAATAAATGTCATAATAGAACATTAATTTTAGTTGTCAAATTTAAAATGTTTTGATGTTTATCTTTGATTGAAATATTTTTAATATAAGTATAATATTTTAAACTTGATGTGTCTAAGTATTATATGTCTATAAATTTCAAAGGGGTCTAGGTATAATTTACTAACGGATATATTAACGGACATTGATGACAGAAGTCTAAGGGGTTGTTTGTTTACTGTCTTTGTCTTGTGTTTTGTGTTTTTATTTTCAATTTTTTTTTCAAAAATGAAAACAAAAATATGTTTGAGAACTGTTTTTTTTTTTTTTTATATTAGTCTTCTTGAAAATAAAGACAAAAAAATGGGAAAAAAAAAGATGTTATAGGAAATATGTTTTCTGGAAACACACA